ATGAACTCCTTTAGCTGCTTCTTGTCTGTGAAGTTCTTTATCTGACCTTCCATTCTAAATGATAGCTTTGGTGGGTAGAGTAATCTTGGTTGTAGGTCCTTGCTATTCATCACTTTGAATATTTCTTGCCACTCTCTTCTGGCCTGCATAGTTTCTGTTGAGAAATCAGCTGACAGTTGTATGGGTACTCCCTTGTAGGTAACTAACTGCTTTTTTCTTGCTGCTTTTAAGATTCTCTCTCTGTCTTTAGCCCTTGGCATTTTAATTATGATGTGTCTTGGTGTGGTCCTCTTTGTGTTCCTCTTGTTTGGGACTCTTTGTGCTTCCTGGACTTGTAAGTCTGTTTCTTTCACCAGGTAGGGGAAGTTTTCTGTCATGATTTCTTCAAATATATAGTGGGATTTTTTAAAATAAAAATTGTTTCACTGAAAACCAGTGGCCAATAAGATTAAAATCATGACCTGTTGTTCAGTCTTTCTGCACTCTCCCAGCATACCCCCTGCCCCATCGTGCCTGCATAGTTGCCATTACCTGAACATATCATGTTTTTTTTTTAATCTTCACCCAAGGATACTTTTCCACTGATTTGTCTTTTTTTTAGAGAGAGTAGAAGGGAGGGGGAGAGACAGAGAGAGAGGGAAACATTGATGTGAGAGAAACACATCAATTGGTTGCTTCCCACACAAGCCCTGCCCAAAGTCTGGGATTGATCCTGCAACTGAGGTACACGTCCTTGACCAGAATCAAACCCAGGACCCTTCAATCCACTGGCCAACGCTCTATCCACTGAGCCAAACCGGCATGAGCTGGGGCTCATGTCTCCTGACTGTTCTCTCTGCCTAGAATGAGTACCCCTCCCCACCCACTTTCCTCAAGTTCCAAATTTGTTTTCAGTTCTGGAGTAATATGCTTAGCCTTTTACACCAGACATTTTTATTTCTTTTCCTTTGCTTCTTTGTACAGATCTTGACTATGATGTTTATCACATTGCATTGTAATTACGTGCAAAGACTTTAAGTCTTTGTAAGGTTCCTGAGAATAGCATCATATCTTTTCACCTTTTTATGCCTCGAAAATGACTCATGATGGACACCTGATAAAATGGCAGGGCACTGCAAATGGTTTGAAATAGTTGCTCTGTGTGATGTATGTACTGCTTTTAATGCCCCCCAATTCTTGCTTTTTAAGGGCTCGATCCATATACGAACGTGCTTTAGATGTGGACTATCGCAATATTACACTCTGGCTGAAATATGCGGAAATGGAAATGAAGAATCGCCAGGTCAACCATGCCCGAAATATCTGGGACCGGGCCATAACAACTCTGCCCCGAGTCAACCAGTTCTGGTAAGTTTCTTATCTAATGAAATGGCTTTTTGTAGACTAGAAAAGTTCCACATTTGCATGCTTATTTCATTTACATAGTTGGAATCATACAGTTGTATTTAATTTTACACATGTTAAGTATGTATAAGTGTTTTTGAATGTCTTATAATCTATCTTACCTAATAATAGACAAACATGTAAATTGACCGTACCTTTGCTATGCTACCCAGCCAATCAGGAGAGTATGTAAATTAACCTAACAAAGATGGCAGTTAATTTGCATATGTAGGTTCCAAGCGGTGGAGCGAAGCCTGACGGCCCCGGGGCCAGCAGAGCAGGGAGAGCCTGACGGCCCCGGGGCCAGCAGAGCAGGGAAAGCCTCACGGCCGCGGGGGCCGGTGTAGCAGGGAGAGCCTCACGGCTGCGGTGCCAGCCAGAGCAGCGAAAGCCTCACGGCCGCAGGCCATGGAGCAGGGAAAGCCTCATGGACACAGGGCTGACGTAGCAGGGAAACCTCACGGCCGTGGAGCAGGGAAAGCCTCACGGCCCCGGGGCCGACAGAGCAGCAAAAGCCTCACTACCACAGGGCCCACAGAGCAGCGAAAGCCTCACGGCCCCGGGGCCGGCTCCAGCTGGAGTCCGGCCAGAGCGAAGGCCTGGTTGCCAGGTGCCAGAGGAAAACCGGTGCCAGCAGCCAGGATTGCACGAAGAGATTCGTGCAACAGGCCTCTAGTCTATTATATAAAAGGCTAAGTGACTGGCCGACTGGCCGGTAGGTATGACATGCACTGACCACCAGGGGGCAGACGCTCATCGCAGGAGCTGCTGAACAACAGCAACTTCGCAGAGTGCCCTCTCGCACTGCGGGACCCCTCAGGGGATGTCGGACTACTGGTTTCAGCCCAATCGCCACAGGCCAGGCCGAGGGACCCCACCGGTGCACGAATCCATGCACCAGACCTCTGTCTATTATAATGTATAATAGGTGTGTAATCAAAACTAAAATTTCGATTGCAGTCTTTTATATATAAGAAAATTCTTGTTGAACTAAGCAATTTTTAAGAAAAATATATTTCTAATGGTTCATTCTTTTCAGACTTACAAATATATATTTTTAAGTATGTTTTTATTGATTTCAAAGAGAGGGAAGGAGAGAAAGATAGGTACATGAATGATGAGAGAGAATCATTGATTGGCTGCCTCCTGCACTCCACACACTGGGGATCAAGCCTGCAACCCAGGCATGTGCCCTGACCGAGAATCGAACCATGACCTCCTGCTTCATAGGTCGACGCTCAACCACTGAGCGATGCCAGCTGGGCCAGACTTATATTTTAATAAGAAAACCTGTTTAATTTAACCTTTAGGGAAGATAAAGTCTTAAATCTGATTCACATTTAACAAAGTTAAAACTAGAAATTGCCAAAGAACATTTTTTCCCTAAGTTATTTAAAATATTTTTTTTATTTTGTAATTACAGTTGACATAAAGTATTATATTACTTTCAGTTATACATTCCAGTGAAGAGACATTACATAACTTAATATATGATCATCCCAATAAATCCTGCAATATAAATCCTCATTTAGCACCACAACCTAGTTATTAGAATATTATTGTCTATTCCCTATGCTGTACTTTACATCCCCATGACTATTTTTGTAACTGCCAATTTGTACTTCTTAATCCCTTCCCCTTTTTCACCCAGCCCCCCAAATTCTCTTTCTTCTGGCAACTGTCAAAATGTTCTCTGTATTTATGAGTCTGTTTTGCTTGTTCATTTATTTTGTTCTTTATATTCTGCATTTAAGTGAAATCATGTAGTATTTATCTTTGTTTGACTTACTTCACTCAGCACCATCCCCTCTATGTTCATCCATGTTGAGTTCACAAATGACAGGATTTCATTCTTTTTTATGGCTGTGAGTTATATTACATTATATAGATGCACCACTTCTTTATCCATTCATCTGTTGATAGACAATTAGGTTGCTTCCATATCTTGGATACTATAAATAATGTAGCAAGAAACATACAGATGCATGTCTTTTTGAGTTAGTGTTTTGGGTTTCTTCAGATAAATACCCAGAGGTGGAATTGCTGGGTCCTACTTTCTCTCTTATTACAGCCTTTGTTTTAAAGTCTATTTTGTCTGGTATAAGTATTGCTACCCCAGCTTTTCTTTTTTTCATTTCCACTTTTATGAAATACCTTTTTCCATCCCTCTACTTTCAGTCTATGTGTGTCTTTCGATCTGAAGTGAGTCTCTTGTAGACAGCAGCATATCTATGGATCTTGTTCTCTCATCCATTCAGCCACCGAAGTCATTTTGACCATGACAGATAACTTCGGATGATTTTATTAAAGGTACAAATACACGTACATGGAGGAGATGCTGGGAAATGTGGCTGGTGCCCGGCAGGTGTTTGAGCGCTGGATGGAATGGCAGCCTGAGGAGCAAGCCTGGCACTCCTACATCAACTTTGAGCTGCGATACAAAGAAGTGGATCGGGCCCGCACCATTTATGAGAGATATATCCTTTGGATGAGGTCTGAGTGATGCCATTATTGTCTTGGTCCTGCTCCTGAGGAAATGTCATCGTGGTCAGGACACATCATTAATGTTGGCCTAGAAGTCAAGGATGCAAATTTCATCTTCATAAGCTACATATAAATTTTCTAGGGACATAGGTTGGTCAGGAAAAAAGTCTGTGGTCTGGGTAATTGTTTGAGTTTTTTCCATTGAGATTTTGGATTTGTTTATATTTTGATAATCAATGGTTCCTTTTGGAAAATGACACACTAAGGCCCTGGCTGCTATAGCCAGTCCTATTTTTCTAGGGTTAAAGTTTAAGGTTATTAGCACCATTATTGGAGTCCATCCAAAGGATTACCAATTACTAATGATATGATTGCAATGAGTCAGTTAATTTATTTGAGACTTGGTGTCCTCATCTTTAAAAGAGAATAAAGGTTTGTACTACGGGCTGGTTGTAAAGATTAAATGACAACATGTGAAAGCACTCTTAGCATCTGAAATAATTGATCCTCATTATGCACTGTTACCATATTTATGACTTCTACTTGCTAAAATTTATTTGTAACCCCAAAGTCAGTATTTGTGGCACTTTCAGTCATTTGCAAGCATAGAGTGATGAAAAATTTCAGTCACCCAAGGCATATGGCCCCACCTTAGGCGACATTCTGCCTTCTTGTCTCTGCTCTGATACAGAGATGATCAGAGGATCGACACTGGAGACAGAATAAGGCAGTGCAGTGGATTGTAAGAAGCTCTGGCTCTCGGGCCAGTGGGACATGTTTGAATCCCTTTTCTGGCTCTGGTTTATGGGCAGCTTCTGGCAAGTCACTTAATACTTCTGAACCTTGTTTTCTCTCTTATAAAATACCAAAACTAGAATCTACGGATTGGTCATTTTTAGGATTTAAGATTATACTCTCTATGAGATATGTATAGAAATACATACATACATGTTTCCCCTAGCAGCAATGATTTGGTATTCGCTAATTAAGCAGTTACAGTGACTTCATAGGATATAACTAACGCAAATAATGAGAATCAACTATTGTGCAATTTAAGCTCTCAGTTACTTCTACTGTTTTTAATATTATTAGGTTAACAAAAGCTTTTAATAGCATTTCCTTTGTGTCAGGCATTGCTCTCTAAGCACTTTACAAATATTGTTATTTAATCCTCATGACAACCCTGTGATACAGGAACTACATTCTACAGATGTGGAAACTGAGGGATGAGAGATTAAGTAGCTTGATCAGGGTCTTTCAGGTAGTGATGTAGGTAGGACTTGAACCCAGTAGCAGATTCAGAGCCAATGCTCTTAACATCATTGCCTTATTTGAAGTGTTACTAATGGAAACAAATGGTTTTCTCAAGGAAGGTAGATTAAAAATAGGTATATAGATCCTATTAAGAAATAAAATGGTAATTTAAAACTTTCTCTTTTAGCTCTAGTTAGCCGTTTTCTTTTTGTGACTTGTTTTTTCTTCATCATTAATGCAAATACTAATGCTATTGAGCATATAGTATAATAGATGCCATGTATTAAGCATGCTCTTTTGGCCAGAAACAGCTAAGAGATTTACATACATTTTCTCATTTAAAGACAGCAGTCATCCAGTGTGGTCAGTATTGTTTTTAATTCTGTGTTTACAGATGATAAAACTGAGGCTTAGACATGTTAAATGACTTGTTCAGGTCACATTGCTAATTACTAGGGTTCACCTTTGATGCCTCTAGACTCCTGTTTGTACCACTACCAAAAATGTGTCCCAGTACTAAGATATTGACTAAGCACTGGAGGAAGACACAGCTCCCTCACACAGGTCACAGTCTAGTGGTTCACCTTTGTACATGTGTTATCATCCCCGTAGGCGTAGTGTGTTTTGTTGTGGATTTGGGTATTGGGTTTTGTGTGTTCTTTAAGCCACGTGGTCTTGCTGGTATTTCTTTAATTCCTCTGCACTTGTACTTGTGCACCCTGATGTTAAGAACTGGATCAAGTACGCCCGCTTTGAAGAAAAACATGGTTATTTTGCCCATGCACGAAAAGTGTACGAGAGAGCTGTGGAATTCTTTGGAGATGAACATATGGATGAACGCCTTTATGTTGCCTTTGCCAAATTTGAAGAAAATCAGAAAGAAGTAAGTAAACTTCACTCAGTTACATTGCAAAACAGCTTAGAAAACATGACTTCTTGTCACATCAAGTTCATTTCCATTTTTTTATGCACTTACTGGAGAAAATGTTTTAAAAATGTACATTTGTGGCTAAGCTGCATATTGGGAGCTGAGTGATTATAGATTGTATCATAACTATCTTAATTTTGTTGGTCTGTGCTTGACATACAAGCCTTTAAGTCTGGAGTGAGAATATTAACTATAAACTGAGAATGAGTCACTTGGTATCCTGATTAGAAGGCTTTACAAATCATAAACCTGGGAAACAAAAAACCGAAAGCCCTCAGAACAGAGAATATAATTTTAAATGAAAACAGATTGTCCCACAAGTCAGTTCTTCCAGAGTATGTATGGAAAATAACCCATTTATTTATTTACTTATTGTTGACAGTATTACAGATGCCCCCCCCCCCCCATTCCCCTTTACTCCTTCCCACCCATCCCCTGCCTGAATGCAGGGACTTAAACAGGTCATATTAGGGAATTCATATTCTATTCTAAGGCCAGCCAGAAGTATTGAAGGGTTTTAGTGGGAGAAAACCATGGTAGGATATAATTTATATTGCAAGGAGTGCCTCTAGCTAACTTACAGAGATTGTATTGGGAGAGTAGCAAAAGTAGAGGAGATTTGAAATGATCCAGGGAAGAAATGGAGATGGGTTGGCAGTGCGGTGGGGAGAAGTGAAGGGCTGTGTTGAAGAGGTAGAAATGGCAAGGCTTGAAACAGTGACTGTGGGAAAAGAAAGGAGAGGACTCACGGAGGGTTCCAGGGAGTTTTAGCTTGAGCAACTGTGTAGCAGTAGGTATTGCTTAATCAAGATTGGAAAGACTTGGGTTTGGTGGGGAGAAACAGGAGGTCAGTTTCAGACCTTTTAGTTTGAGGTACACAGATGACATCCAGCTTTAAATGTGGAGCTCAAAGGAAAGTGTCAGTCCTTCCTGACTGAAAGATCTCATTGAAAGGGAGAAGAAAAATCTCATTTTTGACATTGAGAGGCCTTAAAATCTATTTTACAAGTAATGTTTTATGTCATAACTACTTTCCTAATCATGACTAGAATGAGAATGTTATGTGAGGGCAGATAAAATCATCTTGTCTGCTTTCAGTTTGAAAGGGTACGAGTGATATACAAGTACGCCCTGGATAGAATTTCAAAACAAGAGGCCCAAGAGCTCTTTAAAAATTATACCATCTTTGAGAAGAAGTTTGGTGACAGGCGGGGTATTGAAGACATCATTGTGAGCAAACGGAGATTCCAATATGAAGAAGAAGTGAAGGTGAGTGCTGGTGTATATGCTTAATTCTGCAAGTAAGTAAGGTGTGCCAGTCAATACTAGCGACAATAAAATGAATAAGCGAGTTAGGGCTACCAGTCATTACGCTCTTGACGATGTGTCTGCAGTAAATGGACAGCTATTTCAGACAGATCAGGTAATTGAGGCTGATAAAAAGGCGAGCAAACAACACCTGGACTTGCTCTGCCACTCACAGGTTGAAAGTCACTTTGATTGCTGAATGTGTGCTGTAGAAATTGAGCAAGATAAATCTGGAGTCCATTTGAGCTTTTAAAAATATATTTTTATTGATTTCAGAGAGGAAAGGAGGAGAGAGAGAGAGAAAAACATCAGTGATGAGAGAGGATCATTGATTAGCTGCCTTCTGCACTCCCCCCACTGGGGATCGAGCCCACAACCTGGGCATGTGCCCTGACTGGAAATTAACCATGACCTCCTGATTCATAGGCTGACACTCAACCACAGAGTCACACTGGCCAGGCATTTGAGCTTATTTTTGAAAGAAGGTAAAAGAGTCAGGGATTGATAAAAAAAACAACCACAAAAACACCAGTTTTTATACATTACCTTTTAGTTTAACTGTTTGAATGTAAGATGTACTGTAGATATGGTTCTTTTATCATCTCTTTACCTGTAATGGACTATTTTGATTTGAATTTAAAGACAGTAACATTTCAAGATACCTACCAAAGATGTAAGTCTAGTGTTAAATGAGGTCAGCAAGATATGTTAAAGATAAATTACCATTAATTGAAAAATCAGGTTTCACAATTGTGAGCATGGTTTAATTCTATTGTAATTTTAAATCTAGATGTAAGGACATATAGTCACATAAATAAACAAATACATTTGCAAAAATAGGCATCTAATTATTGAATAATTGTCTTGGCGGTGGTTATGCAAGGAGCCTTGCTGTGGGACACCTGGCTAATCATCTGTCCTCTATACAGTAGTTTCCCCCACCCCCTCTGAAGTTTCGCTTTCCATTGTCTTAATTACCCACAGTCAACCATGGTCCAAAAATATTAAGTGGAAAATTCCAGAAATAAATAATTCACAAGTTTTAAATTGTGCCTTATTCTGCCTAGTGTGATGATATCTCAAGCCATCCCGCTCCGTTCTGCCTGAAACATGAATGATCCTTTTGTTCAGAGTCTCCACACTGCACTACCCACCTGTTAGTCAGTTAGTAGCAGTCTTGGTTATCAGATAACTATCACAATAACACAGTGCTTGTGTTCAAGTAGCCCTTATTTTACTTAATAATTGCCCGAAAGCGCAAGAGTAGTTTACCTTTTATCATAGATATGTATGTATAGGAAAAAACATTGTGTGTGTGTGTGTGTGTGTGTGTGTGTGTGTGTGTGTGTATGTATATTGTATGGTTCAGTACTATCTAGGGTTTTGGGCATCCACTGGGGTCTTGGAACATATCCCCCACAGATAAGGGGGGACTACTGAATTTTGTATTTTTTTTCTATTTATAAAATCTCAGTAATGATATGTTTTTAAATGCCATAGCATGTAAAATCTAGAGAAAAAGTTGCTAAAATATAGAAAGTCAGTCTGGTGGTCTCTTTTAGCTCACGTAGTCCAGCAAATATGGCTTTTGGTTTTGTTTTTATTTATTAAACTTACTGTCTTTCTAGGCTAATCCACACAATTATGATGCCTGGTTTGATTACCTGCGCTTGGTGGAAAGTGATGCAGAAGCAGAAACTGTACGAGAAGTCTATGAAAGAGCTATTGCCAATGTCCCACCCATTCAGGAGAAGAGACATTGGAAGCGTTACATCTATCTTTGGGTCAACTATGCACTCTATGAAGAACTGGAGGCAAAGGTAAGAATGTGGAATTACGTGTCAACCACTAGTGATTTCCTCACCACGGTGCTTAAAGCTTGCTGTTGTGGGCAGTAACGGATATTTACAATCGTTGAAGCAGAGGAATTTAGTTTTAGATTCTAATAGGCCTTCATTTCAGTCATATAATTATACATTCTCTAACATTTTTAATTCTCTATCTGTTGTGGGCACAGGTGAGGTGTGTTTCTTGTTTTGTTGTGTTTTGTTTTTTAAACCTTGAGGCACAATGTGATTATCACTTGGAACTTGAGAGGGAACAATGAACCAGCCCTTAGTTGAATTATACATAGTTTCCTGGGCTTTCTCATAAATAGGGATCATGGCTAGATTGCACATCCTTGCTTTTATAAAGACCAAGAGGGATTTTCAGAAGTTGGTCATGTATAAGTTAAGAGACAAAGATCAATTTTATGCTGTTGATCTGAGACCGTGAAGCATTTTTTGCGTCTGCTGTCAGGCTGAAAAGCCTTTCTGCAGAGACGCTCTCAGAATTTGACAGGTATGTTGTTTGATTCTTAAACCAAAGTTTGATGGCCACTTTTTAAAAAACATATTTTTATTGATTTCAGAGAGGGAGAGAAAGATAGAAACATCAATGATGAGAGAGAATCATTGATTGGCTGCCCCTGCACGCCCCCTACTGGGGACCTAGCCTGCAACCCAGTCATGTGCTCTGACCGGGAACTGAACCTTGACCTCCTGGTTAAACGCTCAACCAGTGAGTCATGTCGGCTGGGTGGTAGTTCACACTTTTAATCATAAATTATAATCAGGGTTTGAAAATAACAACTTGTGAAAAAATATTTCATGTTGGGAGTGTCCATTTTTTTACCATTATTAATAAAATTAGTAATATTTTGTGAAAATTTCTTTTCCAAATATAGGATCCTGAAAGGACAAGACAGGTGTATCAAGCCTCTTTGGAACTAATTCCTCATAAAAAGGTACATCTGCTCTTAGTGTTCTGTTTCAAAAGTTAAAACCCTGCTTCTGTTGTGAAATAGTGCAGTGAAATATTATTGATTGACTATTTTCCTGTGTAGGCACCATGAAAAACATAAGAATGAGATGTGCTCTTCGCCTCTGAAAATAGCTTATAATCTAGTTGAGAGGACAGCCTGTGACAAATGACTAAAACAGTAGAAATTCAGAGGATGGGTAATCTATAATAATAAAAGTATAATATGCTAATTAGACTAGACAGCCAAACGACCTTCTGGACATCCTTCCTGATGAAGTCCGCTGCGGCT